GAACTTGTGTTTTGGCTTGCTTAATATGGCTGCCCTATTTCGCTTAATGCTAACTTTTTGAATGTAGGTTCCGATAACCAAGCAGAAATTGTTGAAGAAAGCATAAAGCATGCAAAAGAAGCTATTGCTTTGGATGTGAAGGATGGGAATTCCTGGTGTAAGGACAAAACAATCTTCCATCTAGTTTGACCTTGTTTGACTTGGTTACATCGTCCCAGGGATTCATGCTTCAGTCTCCCTTTCTTTGTTTCCATTAAGGTGTATCATCCATCTTAGTCGTCGAATCATTTAAAACCTGGCAGATAACCTTGGAAATGCATGCCTCACTAGTTTTTTCGTGACTGGAGCCTGGGATCTTAGCAAACTTCATCAGTCTTTGAAAGCATATCAGAATGCTGTAAGTGTCAATAAGATGAAGCAAGAAAACCATTATAATATTCCTATAATCTTTTTTGTGATCCAAGCTGATTAATTAATTAGTCCTTCCATCTTGATGTAAATATGGAACTTTTAACTACCTGGAAAGATCCATCTGATACTAACAGGTTTTTCTTTTGTTGTACTCATAGACCCTTTACCATTTTATGCTCTAACATTTGATTACCATCAGGAAAAAGATGAAAGAATGGAATCCAATCCAGACCTATTTTTCAACTGTGCTACTGTAAGTGAACCTTTTTTTTTTTATACTTCACATTGCCATATCATGAAGTTGAGAAAATTGCCTTTGTCATTTCTTTTTTGTTATCAAGATGACAAAATGTTTAATCATCTTCTGATATGTTCTTTGCTGGGGCTTGAATATATTGAGTAAACAGCTAGAGTGTTGATGAGCTGACTATCGCATGTCGCATAATATTTGTTGTTCCTTTTCTTAGTTACATAATAAGGGTGTGCAGATGATTAGACTTTTTTGTTCCTTTTGTCATTATGCTTGTTTATAGATGAGTTTGCACCGAGGATTCTTTCTACTAGATGGGCAGGCAATGTCACATGTCAAGTACTTTTCCGTTTTTTTTTTTTTTTTTTTTTTTGTGGGGGGGGGGGGGTGGAGATGTAAATTTTTATTACATGATTGGAATTGGGTGTCAAATGGGGTAAATTGTCCCAGAAAATGGCAATGTGCATAATCACTTGGACATTCAAGGCAGTGTATTTTTAATGTGATCACTCCATTACCAAGTTTGTCAGGCATAGCTTTAGAAATTGTACATGGGAAGCAAATAAACAAAGCATTTAGTGCCGTATTTTCTCGTCAGTTTTCTTTCGAATTAGTGATGCAATGCAAACTGTGGCCAGAGTAACGATACCATGTGGATAATTTCCTCGTTACCCACGTTACTTCTTCCTTTAAGAGGCTTTTCCTTTTCAGTTTGACTTTCTTGGTGTGCCATAGAACCACAATTGACATTCCTGATGCTCCAGGTTTTAAATATCATTTCAGATGTCAAGCTGGAGAAGCTTTTCATTTCGTACCTAAAGAAAATGAAGAAGAAACAGATATTACTTCAGTGAAAAATATATTCGAGATCATTGGTTCTTGTATAGTCCAAATAAATTTGAGTTTCCTTTTGTCGTTTTTTAAATGACTCTAACCGACTAGCACTAGTTTATCAACTCTGTTTCTCCCACTAATCAACCTTATAAAAGAGTACCCATTAATCTGATTGATGAGCCACTAAGTAGAGTTTGCTTAATTTAAGGGAGCTTTCAAAAGATGTTGTCAAGGTTTTAATTGATGGGAGGAGACTCCCAGTACTAGCACACTGACTTACCAGGACCTTGCGTTGTTGCTCTAGTTTAATTCTTGTAGATCTAGACAATACCTATACCTGATTACTTTTAGACACATTTGCATTTGCTGCACATGATGTGCCCTGTGTATAAGTTGTTCCATAATGATTTATTTGGAATATTTGTTTCAAAAGTGAAAAATTAAATTACGAGTCTGCTATAGATACTGGTAGTGTATATTACAATGCGTTGTTATCACCGATCGCCTGTATATATGAATATTAAATTTAACATCAAGGACGACTCCTTAGTTAATGCTGAAGTTTAATAATTGAGAAAAATCACATTTATCTTTTTTTAACACTAAGAATAAGCAGCTTCTACCTGGCAGCTGATAAACTAGAAAACCAAAAAGAAAAAGAAAGGAATGTTATAGATGGAACAGGAAGTGAGAATGAAGAGAGATTAATGGTTCATCGAATTTGCAGTCATGAGGCCTTTTCAATTGATCCGATGAGCAATGCCTAATAAGAGTTTTTTAAGTTCATTAACGTGATGTTTTGTATGGAATTGGCACTCTAATTAGGTCATTTTCCCAGTCATTTCCCAGTTTGTTCAATGTTGTTTCATCTTCAGGTAAATAAGTACCTAGAGAACTATGAAAGGGCCCTTACTGGATTTCAAGCTGCTGCGCTAAAGGATCCTGGTCTGAATGCATCTGAGGAGGTTGAGAAGATAGTCAGTCTTCTTGACAAGCTAGATAATTTCTTGAAGGTAAATTATTTTTGAGTGAAGATATTAGCTACTTGATACTGGAACTTTCTTTTAGCTGGTTGATTTTATAATTTGTAGTTAAACTTGTGAATTTTGGGGAGTTAGAACTTCTAGTTAGCACATTTATTGCCTACTAACAAGACATAAGAGAAACTGACTCTTGAATTGTTATAATATCTTTCAAAAGTTCAGTTATAATGTTACTATGGGAGTTAAAATTCTCTTGATGCTGTCTCCTTGGTTTTCATGAAACTTATCAACAATTTTCTGTCTTCTGTGGATGCTAGTGATGCGAATATGAAATCCTTACTTTAAAACTGTTGGTTTGTGCACATAGGTACATGCCAAAGGGAAACGACTCACGTCTTTTGCATCATCGCTGGCTTCTGCCAATTGTGAGTTGTAATCCTTTGCTTTGACTGATTCTTACTTTCTATGAAAAGCTTTTGTATTTCTGGAAATGCATTTAATTTGATTTCCTTTTCTTTTGTTTGTTTGTGCGGGGACGTGTCCTTATCTCTAGTGAGTTCCTCCCACAAAAAGGCAAATGTTGATCTTCTATTTGAGGGTCTTAACAAAGCACTAGCCCTTGTTGGAAAGGTGCTATTCTTCATAAAGCATGATAATGTTTCTCCCCTGTAAGTTCTCTGCTTGTCAAAGTTCTCATGGTTTGTGTCATTTGATCAAACTGATTTAGTCACAGGTTGTGGACATTATTGTGTGCTTCACATGTATTATAATGGTGCAATACTTTCACATGGATATTAAACTGACTGTAGTCGACTCCACATACGTGTGTTCCATTTTAAGTCTGAGGCATCATATCGCACTTGTTGATCCTTTGAACAGCTTGTTTATTATGAACTTTGTGGTGGTTTTGGCAGGTATTATTTAGCATGTGATTCAAATCAGACATGTTTTATCCTTTCAGTTTATGGCATACGGAATGACATGGTAAGAAGTAATTGTTCCTTTCTGCAAAAAATGTGAAAATCCACTCGTTGGACCTACTGATTTGTTCCCAGTGTTCTTTGCTCTCTATCTACTACTTTTTTTGGGTTCCTTTGTGGTTCAGATAAATTTTATTCGTCATCACTGAAGTTTAGTGAATTTTCCAATCATATCACAGAACTTTCATTTCAATTAACTAATGTACTGAATATTCAATTTTTGCAACATATGCACAGGAAGTAGCCAATTTTCCAACAAATTGTTGGCGGGTGTATCTCCATCATTGCCACGTGGGCATCATGTTATATTTTGCCAGAGAATTGGCTGGACTTGGGTCATAGTGCACCAATTGCAAAAAATTGGAAGTTTAGTGCATTGGGTCATTAAAAATCAAAGATGAGTGATCTCATTGAAAGTCGCTTCAGTTTGGTGACCACCAATGAAATTTATTATTTATTTTCTTATATCTCAGACGTCAGTCTAGGACTCTCACGCAGTTTGCTCCATGTCTGTTTACTCTGGGGCTTTGTATCGTCACTGGTAGAATGGCGAAGGATGAATTTTTGTGTATCAGATACATAAACTAGGTTGAAAAGTGCCTTAATATTGCGAACCCTGCACAAATTATGAGTTCAGTTTTTGCATGCAGTCACTACTCACCATCTTGACTGCTATTTGTAACCTGTGATTTGTGTTTGCAGATTAAAGAAGGAGATCAACTGATGCTCTTGGATCCTTATTACCGTCTCGTTGATTTTACTTGGAGTGGGAAGGTACTTATTTTGTGAGCATATATCCTTGTTCACATTTCTTAATGAGCAACTTGCTATCAAACTTTATTTCCTCTTAACACTATCCTTGATATAAACCATGACCCGCAGTGCGAGTTCTATTGACTCCTGGTCTGCTTTTCCTTTATTGTTAATTGATTATTGGAACAGACTTACCAGTTCAAATCGATCCGTGTGGATTTCCTTCAACAATTGCTCGTGAATGGAAAGCCTTTGCCTCCAAGCCAGGCAGTTGGAACGTCCTTCCGTGCACAGCACAAGCCCTGACAATTTGTATCAAGTGCCTGTATCTTGCTGAGTTGCGGGCATCTCTCGATTCTCCTGGCCTGTGTGGTGTGCATGAAGCAGAGAGGGTACAAGGATGAATCAGGAAGTTGAAAATGGAGAGTGGAATAGGTGAGTTGTTGCTCGTATTCACTACCGACGCACCGAATGAGAACCAAATGTAATGCAGATTCATTTTTTTGACAGTGCAGCTTTTGATCATCGAGTTGTCGTTCCTTGTGTGCCTTCTGCCTAGGTGAGATTGTATCTTAGTTTGCACATAACAGCAACAGTGTCAATCCTGTGAAATGTAATGATATTTGGGTAAGCTTGCAAATTTATGCGTTCGCCACTCTTTCTGCCTCTCTTTACCGCCCTCTGCTGATCCCCAGCGACACGCCACTCGTCAGCTGGCAAATCATTAGTAATGGCACATTCCATCTCTTGAACTACTGAACATGCTACCGAATCTAAGTGCACCCAGGAACAGCATAACTTTTCTCATTGAAAAAGTGAAAAACAAGTACCAAAATTTATTTTCTAGTATAGTCCATCGGGAGCGCAAGCTTTACAGAACTGAATCTTTGCCTTCCCCGGGAATGAAACCCAGTCCAAGAAACTCAAACAAGTGTTTCGTGAAAGCATGATCGAGCGGTATATGAAACTCCTCCCTTTGAAGACGTTTTTGCCCCTTCACCTGCGTGCAGACCATAATCGACCATCATCAACGCGATAAACCTTGCATACATGAAGGCGGGCCTAGGATCTGATCAGATACCTCAGTTCCAAGTGTTCTTCAATGACCAAACCACCAATGACTTCAACACCCTCTTCTGAGTTCCGAGCTCTTCCACCCAATCGGCCGGGCGGGAGTTCCGGGGGCTTTCCATGGCCCACTGTACCCAGCCACTTCAATGAACTTGATCCACTCAGCTTTCGCGCTTCACTGGCTGTCCAAGGTTCCTGAGGAAGTGAAGGTCGGTTCTCACGCACGGACTGAAGGAAGGATCCCGTACGCTGGCGGTTCTCGTGGAGTCACCGAAGCCTTTGCTAGTCAGTTTCAGAGGGATATGGAGGAGTTCTTCGAAGTGAGATCGAAGGAGATGGTGGAGGACGGGCTGCTGATGCCGTGTCGGCCTGATGGCATAGTGGCTTCTGAGTTCATGCTTATGCACATGTCGAGTGTTCGGGGAATGTTCTTGCAGATATGGCCAGAGAGGTAAGCTACCAATGCTTAAATGTCAGATATTTCAACGCTATAAAGCTTGTTCTTTGTGGAGTTCCTGCATTGTACTAAACCATAAACACTAGTGCGAATGCTCAGTACACATGTTAATGACAGAACCGCACCGGACCAAGTTATTTCTGAATTTTCACGAGTTAATGCAGCTCCGTTTTTTAAGAACAGTGGACTTTTTGGAGCTTATGAGATGGAAGAGCGAAATGAGGCAACTGTTCAATAATCTTGATATGCCAGAGGCAGGGACTCCTGCCAGTTTGCCTGGAATTTTATTTATATTTGTATTTCACCCTTGTTGTAGGGCTTGGTAAAGGAATAACTCGTCGACTCATTCATTCTGCCGATTTTCATCCCGAGTCCAGCTGAAGTAAAGGAGCTGGCAATGAAGATGGATTGCTTCAGCATTTAAGTAGCAGAAAAGATTTACTACCCTCCAAAGCCAACTACACCAGAAGACATGAGGCTTTGCACTTTCCATCTCAGAGCAACAATAGAAGACGTTTTGCACAAACATTTTGGACCCGAAATTATCAGTACCGTCTTTCAGAGGCTTCCACAAAAGCTCGAACAGTTCTCAAGTACGCCGTGTTTCACAAATGTCGAGAGGTTGCAACATTTACTTCTTGTAGTCAAGAAGAAAAGATGCTTCTAAAGTAAATTTACTATACATAAAGTTGTCCAACTGCTAGCATTCCCAAAATTCCAGACTGAATTTGGTTTCCGATGTTTGGAATGCAAATCAAGTCAAGATCTGCAAAGAAATGAATACTAGTTGACAAGCAACAAGAAACCTCGTTTGTGTCAATGTCTTGAGGAACTATTCCTCGATTGGAACATTTTGAATCAATATATATTTTATCATAGTTCCAATATAAGATGTCTTAAAATGCAAATGCTTGAAAAGTACTCAATGGACACCGATGTATTTACATCCCATCAAATATGACACGGCCCCATCTATGCCTAAGCATAACAAGAGAAAAGGGAAAAGATACCATGCATGGCAAAGTAATAGGGAAAATGCTGCAGTACAGCATAAATAAATTTCTTCAATTAAAGAAATCCAATATGCCCAAAACCAAAGCAAAAAATATACACGTCCAGTCATTCCCTGGCTTATTAAGTGACAAGAAGAAAGAGGGCATAGCAACTGAGGCCCTCAACTCCATTTCTCTTTCACACTCTGCAATCAGATTAAGAAAGAGACAGAGAGATCCCGAAATTTGATCCGAAAGCAATCCTCTTGCAGGCCAATTATCTCTTAAATATGTTGGTTCCTGCAATTACAAAGTGAAGGGGACAAACAGAACTGGCAAAGAGAGGATTTGATTAAGAAGCAGATTCCTTGGCAATCTTCTCTGCCTTAGCGATAACCTCTTCAATGCCTCCAACCATGTAAAAGGATTGTTCAGGTAGATCATCATACTTTCCATCCAACACTCCCTGCCAAAAATTTTAGAGGAAAAAGCACAAAGCAATTAATAAATGCACACGATAATTTGCCTGAACATAACAAGTGCTATATTGATGGCATTCAGTAAGAAAAATTTAGAATTAGGACATATGTGCATCCTACAAGCAAAAAGCCAGAACCTAAATAAGTAAACTCTAGGACCCTTTTGACCAAAAAAAAAAACATTCTAGGAGCCAAACAATGCTAGAAACATATGGAAGCAAATAGACTGGCGTGGCGACTAAGACTCAATTCAAACAAATACACTGGCATCTACATTAGTGGATTCTTTTTCAGATAATTAAGCATACAGGAGTTTCATGATAAGACTATAGTATGAAAGTCCAACATAGAATTCCAGTTAATTCTCTCCAGCAAGTACGTTGAGCTTTTAGAACGAGATGAATCAAAAACTATCAATAGTTCTTCAATTTAAAATCATACTGCATCACCCCTATATTTTGTGATCAGGACACAGCCGGATCAACCGATGGGAGGAAAAAATATAGGAATATATATTACCTGGAAGCTGTTAATACTCTCCTTCAGTTCTACATATTTGCCAGGGGCTCCCGTGAACACTTTCAGCAACATGGAAAGGCTGGCTCAAGAACCGTTGAATTTTACGAGCACGAGCAACAGTCAATTTGTCATCTTCACTAAGTTCATCCATTCCCAAAATTGCGATAATATCTTGAAGATTCTTGTAGTTCTGAAGAACCTTCTGCACTCCACGAGCAGTATTGTAATGGTCCTCACCCAAAATGTGAGGGGAGAGCATTCGGGATGTGGAATCTAGGGGATCGACAGCAGGATAGATACCAAGCTCAGATATCTGCTCAAAGTCACAACAAGTCATCAATCCATCAGAAGAACCGTTTTGGATTAGTACTAATAAGCATCAACAAACCAACCTGTCGTGACAGCACAGTCGTGGCATCCAAGTGAGCAAAAGTGGTTGCAGGAGCTGGATCTGTCAAGTCATCAGCAGGGACATAAATAGCCTGGACAGATGTAATGGAACCTTTCTTTGTTGTTGTAATACGCTCCTGAAGACCTCCAAGATCAGTAGCCAGAGTGGGTTGATAACCCACAGCAGATGGGATACGACCAAGCAAGGCGGACACTTCTGAATTGGCCTGCAGAACAAATTGATAGTACAGTAAACAAATGGAAAGCATCGTAACAGTAGCATTCTTGCGACGGTTAGAGAAACTAAACAACACAATTCTTATGTCCTTTCACGGGCATGCTTACTTGGGTAAATCGGAAAATATTATCAATGAAAAGAAGCACATCTTGCCCTTCAGCATCTCGGAAGTGTTCAGCGACAGTCAGACCAGTGAGCCCAACACGAGCACGTGCACCAGGAGGCTCATTCATTTGACCATAGACAAGAGCACATTTGCTGTCAGCCTGTAGTTTGAAGGTTAAACTAAGCAAAACAATCCCACATGATTCGTGTATTCCAACGAGCAATAAGAAAAAAGAAAGGAGTGGTATTTAAGCACCTGCTTATCACCAAGCTTGATGACACCACTCTCAATCATCTCCCTGTACAAGTCATTACCCTCACGAGTTCGTTCTCCAACACCAGCAAACACAGAGAAACCACCTATTGAAGCATAATGAAGACGTCATATAGGAACAACAAGATGCAACCTGCACCTTAAGACATGTGGTATAAAAAAACCAACCATGGGCTTTAGCAACATTGTTGATAAGTTCCATAATAAGCACAGTTTTGCCTACACCAGCACCACCAAACAGCCCGATCTTTCCACCTCTTTGGTATGGAGCAAGGAGGTCCACAACCTGCAGGGGAAAGCAGCAGTGTAGTTGTTGAAACTCACTTACATAAAGCCAGCATATGACGAAAATGGGTCTAAAAGAAGTTCAAGGAAGATAAAATTTAGGTTTTCATATAAAATCGTATACCTTAATACCAGTGACGAGAATCTGCTGTTCAGTTGCTTGCTCAACGAAAGATGGAGCTTCTCTATGAATGGGCAAAAAATGATCCGTCTCTGTCAAAAAAGATAAATTCTCACCCATTAAGATCATGCGATCAAAGCAGCAGTTGGAACAAGCATGTACTTCATCAGTTCTCTATTACTCACTGATATCGCCTTTCTCATCAATTGGCTCCCCAATAACATTGATGATGCGGCCAAGTGTAGCCCTTCCTACAGGTACCTACAGGGAAAAAGGAAGCATCGTAAAGGCAGCAGATCAAGATATACAATGCAAATTTATTGAAACATGTGTATCAACAGAAAAAAGGAACAGAATGGGCCAATCAAACTAAATGCAGATATAACCCAAAATACACAGACAGATGCCACTCCATTAAAACAGAAGGAAATATTGCTGGCAGACCAAAAGGCAGTTTGAAAAAAGAGTCTCCGTGAGAATTCATCAAAGGCAAAAGCATAGAGCCCAAATCAAACAGTCAACCAAAAGTGGTTCGCCTCCGCAACTTTTTCTGAACTAACTTAGTAGTGAATCTTTCATTTCTTTTCATGAAATAACATGGAACTTTGTATGGTAACACCACGTAAGAAATGCTTTCCATCAACCACACGATTAGTGAAACTTCTGTCTTTCACAAATTAAAATCATCCTTCGGGCTTCAGCTCTTAGCTGAAGAAACAAAACAGGAACATCACCTCTTGAGCTGCATTACCTCAGCACAAGACTTTACACCAAAATCCTAACTTTCCAACTTAACATCCCACACTTGCACAGGAAATCCGTATCATTTGCATCACCCCAGTCCAGTCTCCAACCACCCACGACACGACAATGAAATCAACCATTTTCACCTTAAAATCGGACAATAACGTTAACATTTGGTCAAGCGAGGGGGACAATCACATCGACGAACAATTTCTCCCCCGCAATACCGGATCATAACAAGGATCCACAAAGACAACCACGCATACATCCACACAAAGTGATTTGGGCAGAGAGAGAGACGGGGGAAAAAGTCAAACTTACAGTGATAGGGGAGCCAGTGTTGAGCACGCGCTGACCACGCACGAGCCCTTCGGTCCCGTCCATAGCGATGGTCCTGACCATGTTCTCACCCAAGTGCTGGGCCACCTCCAGCACCAGCCTGATCGAGTGGTCGTGCACCTCCAGGGCCGTCAAGATCGGAGGCAGGCCCTCATCGAACCGCACGTCCACCACGGCCCCGATCACCTGGCACACCTGCCCGATCGCGCCGGCGCCCGTGAACTCATCGGTGATCCTGCCCTTCCCGGCGTCCTCCTTCGCGGGGGGAGGAGGAGCCGACGGCGGCGGGGCGGAGGCGGCGGAGGAGGAGGTGGCGTAGTAGGCGGCGCGGGTGAGGAGGTAGCCGTGGGGAGAAGAGGGGCGGTGGTGGCGCGGGGAGGAGGTGGAGAAGGGGGTGGGCTTGGGATTCGAGGAGGGAGGCTTCGACGGGAATCGGCGGAGGTAGGAGGAGGAGGAGCGGAGGAGGGTCGGCAAGAGCCGGCGCGAAGATGCAGAAGCCGCCATGGAAGGGGGTGGCTGGCTTCAGGTGGAGACCAGAAAAGTGGGAGGAAAGGAGGAATTTTTGTAGGGCTTCACCTCCAATTTATGGACTGTGTAGTACACTAGAGAGAGAGAGAGAGAGAGAGAGAGAGAGAACAACAACCAATCCTGCATTTCAGGCAAAATTCAAGTGAAGAAAAGAAGAAGAAGATGAAAAAAAAAGCATCCATGTTGGATCTTTTGCATTTTACAACTTCAATTGTTGGAGCTAACAACAATGTAATACAATTGATGATTGAAATATGGATTAGTTACACTTTCATTACACATGCCAAACTTCCGGTAGTGGGGGTGCGAAAACTAATTTAGTGCACATAAGCGATGGATCTAACAATCAACCTATTAAGAAAAAAAAGTTTACTTTTACATATTACCTTTCACAGCCTAATTCCCTAAAAAATCACCAACTTTAGGTCAAATCCTGAACTTTTTTTTGTTTCAGAAAAAACCTCAAACTTTAGGTCCAATCCCAAATTTGCCCTGAACTTTTTTTGTCTAAAAAAAGACCCCAAACTTTAAGTCCAGTCCCAAATCTGCCCCGAATTTTGTTTTGTGTAAAAAAAACACCAAAATTCAATTTATTTATAAAAAAAAAACCCCTGTGATTCAGTCCCAACTTGATGTGGCACTTCCACGTCGATAACAAATCCACGTCAACAAAGTAATGGGGCTTTTTTTTAGACAAAAAAGTTCGGAGCAAATTTGAACTGAACCTAAAAATTAGATTTTTTTAAAATAAAAAAATA